CCTTGAGACCCTTGGCGACGTTGTTGTCGAGCTCGAGCTTGGTGTCGAGGGCGTTGGCGGTGGTCCAAGCCTGGGTGAGAGTGAGACCTGGCCGAGGTAAAAGCATTAGCATCATGCGATGGTGAGTAAACTGAGACATGAAATTCAACTTGACCGATCTGGAAATCGAGTGACCGCATGAGAAAAAGAATCTCATGGGTCTAGACTCGCCCAGACGGTCGCAACTTGAATCGGGAGGCTTTTGTATGCTGGGGCGTTTACCGGTAGGCTTGTCGACGTATTTGGCCTCGAGCTATATCATCCGCAAATAATCCCGATTAGCAAGCATCCTATAGGTGGGGCTAGTAAACAGAGACTTACGGAGCCAGCAATAGGACCCTCGTGGGCAGACTTGCCCTTCACGTTGAAGGTGACGCCATTGGGAGCCTTAGACTTAACCTCAAGGCTAGCTATAAGCAAGAATTCCGTCAGCTCAATTGCACACAAACAAAAATTTCCACGGTCAACAAGACCGGTGATGGGTTTATTTACCAGGGCTGACGTGGTAGAAGTCCTTGTTAAGGAGCTAGAAAACAGGCAATCAGCATGGTGACTCTTTCCCGGGTTCGCGACAAGTTGTCGTGTTTATTATGATTTTTCCCGTAACGAGGAAAATCACGACAACCGGGCAAGGTTCGAAGAGCATACGTCGTTGGCCGCCTTGGAGATGTCGGAGAAAGCAGCAGGAGCAGACATTTTGCAGGTGGAGTAGAGGGACGGTGGATTCACGTCGCAAACAAGGAGATAAAGAACCTGAAGTGGTGGTAAGTGGTGAGGGGGTGTAGAAGAGATGAAAGGGAGAGGGGAGAAGAAGATGAGGTGAAGTCGCCCAACAACACCGATGGGGAGCCACGGGAATGGCCCCGGCTGCTGATTGGCTGTTTCTCGGTTCCCGGTAAAACCTAGTTCCCGGGCTCCGTGACGTCGATGTTCCTGGAATCCTGTCCGTCATTTCCCTACGAGTTCCGATATGGCACCGCTTCGACCATATCTTTTCTAAGAATGCAGATTACGGATATCAGTGATCATAGGCAGGACAGATATCTACATCATGATCCATACGGAGCCGCATTGGGAAGGACTGTCTACTGTCCATTCAGGATATGTTGTTCGTGACAATGGTACTCTGTACAGAGACTTCTCATGATCCGATAAAGCACGCTGCACATAATGGACTTGTGCTTCCTTGTTCATACTTGTGCCTGTGCATAACACCATCCACGGGTCACATGACTACCGTGCAAATATAGAAAGTCATCTTCGAGTTATCAACCCTACAAATGTGAGGATGTTCATGACTCCGTACCTCTTCAGAACCCCGAGCAACAGAGACATACCCCTCTATACGTCGGCTTTTACTACTACTGGGACAGGAATGGGAGTGGCGCCTTTGTTCTTGGGTCTGTTGTATGGGCAGCGGTTCACCTGATGACCTGTCTGAGAGCATCTCGTACAGGGGCCTTTTGCTTGGCAAGACTTTTCCCAATGTCCCTTGCTATGACAGTGATTGCAAGTATTTGAGCGACATTTCCAGGTCTTGTGGCCATACTTATTGCAATAGTTTTTGAGGGCACTCATTACTCGGATGTTGACCGACTACACCACAGACGGTGCATGCTCTTGGCTCAGATACACGAGAAAGTAATTTGATTCGAAAGCTTTCGAAGAAGAAGAGAGGTAGTCAAAGAGTGTGCTTTTATTGAAAATGATCTTCTATGTTTGTCTCGTTGGTCCATTCGCTCACCTCTAAGCCTATGGGATGTCATATTATCAGGCAAGGCCGAGTGGTCTAAGGCGCTGCATTTAGGCTGCAGTATCGAAAGGTACATGGTCGAATCTCATCCTTTTCAACACATGTTTACTATATTTTTTGGGTGCCCTGGACAGGTAGGGTTGGAACAGTGTCAGTGTTTACTGTTTGTGTGAAGATGTCTGAAGACCCCTTTCATTTTGCCGATTATTACCGCCTAAATTCTGCCAGTTCTAATAAATCGGATATGCTGCAATAATCTCATGTATATGGATTGCATGCTATCTGACAGGCTAGTTGAAATCCATCCTCTATTTCATGCCATGCCTCAATTGCTGCTTTTCTCAGCAATTCCTGGCGTGAAGGTAAAATATGTGGGTGGCCTGATAGGCAGGCGGTCAAAACAGCAGGGGTCTTCAAACTTCCTCGCCCCCACAATATAGTTATACAAATCAGTCAATCCCTTTAAATTTTTACCAACCCAACCTAAGAGATATAATCACAGATGCTGGAGCTCAAAAGATATATCAAATTACAAAACGCTGAATCGTCAGCATATATGGCATGGCAATTGCACCCTATACAATATCGCGGATAGAAAAGTCTAAAGGCGCTTTTTACTCCCTCTTTCCCTTTTATTTTGTCTATGCCCGTCGTTCAAACAAGCTCGTAACCATGTCGAAATGGTGCTTACTCGGTGCTGTCGTACTTGGCAACGTGGGTAGCAATAGCCCTGATGACTGAGTGTTAGTATACGATGCCAACTACCCCGTACAAGAGAGGAAGGGAAACATACCGTCCACTGGGGTCAGTCTGCTTCGACCATTTGGGGACCCAGCGCTCGACGGTCGATGCGCAGTAAGGGGGGAAGTGCTCATCGAACATCGTACGGTACCAGTAACTGTTCAAAGTTAGCCCCATAACCTTTCTCACAATTTAAAATGCTGGGCAGCATACGCTTCCTTGGTGTCAGGAATGTCGGCACCCCACTCAGGCTTGGGGTTCTTCATCATCTCATCAGTGACGTGGAGCTCAGCGTGGTCCTTCAAACCGTCGATCCAGCTGTAGCCGACACCGTCACTGAATTGCTCCTTCTGACGCCAGAGGATCTTTTCTGGCAGGTAAGGAGCAACGTCGGGCTCTTCCCGAGTGTCGAATGCTTTCCGCATGATGTACTTTTCTATGCGGTCTCCGGTGATCATCTTCTCGGCGGGGTCAATGCCCATGGCGGTCTCCAGGAATTCCTTGTCGAGGAAAGGCACACGGGCCTCAAGACCCCATGCGGAAGTCGACTTGTTGGCTCTGAGGCAGTCAGCCAGATGCAGGTTCTTGACACGGCGGACGGTCTCCTGGTGGAATTCTTCCTTGTTGGGGGCGGCGTGGAAGTAGAGGTAGCCACCGAAAATCTCGTCACTTCCCTCACCACTCAGAACCATCTTGACACCCATAGCCTTGATCTTGCGGCTCAACAAGTACATCGGGGTCGAAGCACGGATGGTGGTAACATCATAGGTCTCCAGGTGGTAAATAACATCAGAAAGAGCATCGATGCCGTCCTGGACAGTGAATGTGAAAGCGTGGTGCTTGGTTCCAAGGAATCGGGCAACTTCAAGAGCAGCCTCAGTGTCGGGAGCACCGGGGAGACCAATGGAGAAAGAGTGCAGCTGCTGGAGGATGGGAGCGGTCGAAAGCTCGTTGGAGTCGTCGATGCCAACCAAGTCGGACGAGCCGGTCTGCTGCAGGGCGGCGGCCTTGGTGGCCTCATGCATGCGCAAAGTTTCCCGTTGGGCGATAGACGCCACCAAGCTAGAGTCCAAACCACCGGACAGCAAGACACCGTAGGGGACCTCAGCCATCAGACGCTTCCGGACAGCCTTCTCAAAGGTATGACGGAGGTTCTTGTAATCGATGGGTGTCGCAGGAACGTTGGTCGGATCCCACCATGTGGGCTCGAAGTATCGGGTCATGGAGCCGGTCTTGGAGTCGTAAACGTGGCCAGGGGGGAAAGCCTCGATCTTATCGCAAACGGGGTGCAAGCACTTCAACTCCGAGGCGAAGTACACGGCACCAGGGGTCTGAGAAGACCATCCGATGTAGAAACTGGTGATACCAATGGGGTCGCGTGCCGCGACAACTCGGTCCTGCTTCTTGTCATAGAGAACCCAGGAGAACATGCCATCAAGGTGCTTGGGCGCATCAAGGCCATATTGCATGTACTTAAACCGGTCAGCCTTTGCTCCTGTTATCAAGCCGAAGTAATCGGAACATACCAAAGGAATGACAACTTCACAATCCGAATGTGTCTTGAACTCGTAGGGAACGGTCAATCCCTTTCTGACGATGCGGTGGTTGTAGATCTCGCCGTTGACAGCGAGGGCGAGGGAGCCATCTTCGTTAACGAGGGGCTGAGCACCAGTGTCTTGAGAAGAAGCAAATTTAGCAACCGGTCATGTCGGGAAAGAGATCATTTTTTGGCGCAATTACATACCGACGCCGACAATACTCAGACGCTCGTGGGCAAGAACTGCGACTCCGTTAATATCTCCGCCAATCCATACATACAACGCCCATTATATCCTTACTTGTTTGCCCGTCAAGGAAGTTTCCGCCTGTCAGAGTATGTTAGCGCCGTGTTTCTCGATCAATGGCGGACAATGCGATGCGGTAGTGACTCACTCCAGTCAGGTCCACGGTGGCGGACACTGCAATAAAACGCATTCAGTTTCCAATTCGACTCAATTCAGTATAAGAAAGGGGGTTTTTACGCCTTGGCCATGCGCAAAGCCGTAGGCTTGAACTTTTGCACATCGGGGTGACTGTTGAACTTGATCAGCGAATTTCGATCTCCGGAGGGGCAACCCTAGTAGTTATGGAGTTATGGGTGGTGTGGAGAGGAGAGAGGGTACGCACCGATGACACGCGAAAATACCACACATGTTGGGCACTCAAGCGATTTAATTGTATATGAAGAAACAGAGAAAGCGAGAGAAGAATAGAAGGGAGAAAGGGAATGGCCGAGTCCAATCTGGGGGAAGTCTGGAAATTTTAACAGCGGGGCGGAAGCCGAGCGAGGGGCGATTTCGGCAGAAAAACTGTGACCTGACTCACTCGATAAGATAAGCGGCCGGATTGGGCGGTCGGTCATTGGTCCCCGTACTGTACTTACTCTACAAGGATACTGCGAAGCAAAAAATGCTTCATGGCAATTCTCATATAGCAAAAAACTGATATCAATTACCAAATCTTAGCCATCCGCTTTTCGCATTAATGCGCCTTGCTCGCTGAAAAGGGCGGTCGAAAATAATCAGTAGAAACGAAGCCAATGCAACATCACGACCCCCAACGAGGACGGTGTATCCGTTTTCGATACAGAAAAGAGAGAGAGAAAGAGAGAGATCCTAACAGCTCATAGACATTCATAATTCGTAGTTCCTTTTCGAAGATCGATCAAGATGCCCGTACTTCCCGTATAAAGCAAAGAAAAGAGTGCAGCACATGTTCAAAAAGATCAACGGACCCTTAGATGTCGCTAATGTTCGCCAGAACCCCGAAACGAAATTCAGAAAAGAAACAGAAAGACCCAACAGACACGCGGACTAAAGAGCCGGATTCTCGCGGACAACCTGTTTCACACGTCGTTCATAGGCCGGGCGATCCTTCTTGAAAAGGTTGTATGCATCGGCTTGGGCGGGAGATTCGGGGTTTGGGTCATCCAGCAGATCCTGAATACCGAGGAGGATCTGCTTGATCGTGATAGCGGGTTTCCAGGCTTCTTCTTCGTTCAGGATCGAGAGACAGACGGTGCCGGAGGGGTACACGTTAGGGTGAAAGAGCGGAGGGACGAATTTGCCTATTGCATTGTACTCTGTTAGGGGCATTCTCTTTTCATACATTTCGCTTCGAGCGAGGTAGGAAACGTACACTTCGGAGGCTTCGTAGGGTACTCTGTAAACGAAGAAAAACAGTCAGACCAGCTCCTCACTCGATACATAAAGCCAACTCACCATCAGGAAACGTAACATCCAACTTGAACAAGCCACCATCCCACAGAGTCTGGGCCTTTCCTGGGATACCGCATTCCCAGCGTTTTAAATCCAAAACCCCGTTGGGGTTGCGATAGGGTCGGGCGTAGAACCCAAAAGGATGGTCCCGTCTCCATTGCTTTCTGTTATTGTCGCGCAATCAGTATCTCTCCTGTGCTGTTCGACCACGCGCAAAAGGCGTTTCGGGGGGGCATTGGGTGACGTACCTCTCCTCCGTGAGACGATTTTGGCAGAGCGACATCGTGTAAAAAGCGGTCGATCAGGTCGCGATGTCGTAATATGAGTGGCGATTATAAGCAGAGGGGCGGTATAGAGAGTAGTAAAGAGGTGTAGAAGTTAAGGATAGAAGAAGAGGAGCTTACTGCGCAGAGAAGAGAGAGTGAGAGTGAGAGTAGAGTAGGATGCTGCAGCAGTGAAGGAATCAGTTGTTCCTGGTCTAGTGCCCCACAGCCAATCACCTCCACAGCTGATATAGATTTGGTCACATGATATGCAGTGACTTTGTGATTCTAACATTGACTAGTAACGCACTCCAAACAAGTGTCTATATTTGTTTGGATTGTCTCTTTTACTGGCATCTTTCTTTGTATGTTGCATTTACAGCCAGAGGGTGATCTTGACGTCAAAGAGTTGATGCAGGGATCTATATAAAGATTCCGGCTGTGGAGAGGAACTTTTCATGTCCTGATTCTGGAAATCGCCGTTTAGCGTGTCAAGTATGTATGGAGTAAATTCCATCAAAGAGAGACTTGGCCTACAAAGAATGGAATGTAGGAGCATATAAACATCCTAATACCAATGAAAACCCTCTCATTCTTCAATCATCCTAACCCTTTACTTCTCTCATCACTATACAATCAAGGAGATACTAGTAGGAAGGGACAAAAACAAAAGAAATCCACCATGTGCCATCAAATTACTTGGTACCATGCCGTCTGCTACCATCAGGACTCCGCCTACAACCTCCGCATCTCATGCAGACAAGCCTTGAAGGTAGGGTATGAATGCTACAGACTTGAATGCACCCTCATCCCTGTGTTCGGGGCATGTCTGTCCTGCAAGCATGAAAAGAGTCTTGCAAAAGGGAAACTTAGCCCGATGCGGGCATGCGCAGATGAGAGTTCGAGACCACAGACCCCGGGCACTTTTTCGAGCACTCTCTCTAACGTGGAAACAGAGCTAGAACCGCAGTATTCCGTCGGAAATGATAGTGGTATTTTCCTCGATGGCGGCGACGAAGACGTGGTGGGTTTTGGCGAGGATAATCATATAGATGAATTGGAGCTGTTTGATTTGATCACATTTTGAGGTCGAGGTAACCGGTGTCTCCTTATTCTTTCTGATAGACTTCTTTTCTTGTGTTATTATCTGGATTTGTTTGGTTTTGCTGACTTTGACCTTGACTAGCTGGTTTGTGTTGGAAGAAGTCTTCCAAGAGGGGTTCCGGTTTTGGCGCATTTTGGAAAATTTATTTTTATTCAGACCGAAAGTGTATGTTCTCGTTTAGGTATGAGTCTCCCTCAATCCTCATTAATCATCGTATATCCCCTGCTCAAACTTGGCATTATCGAAGAATCGAACCGTGATCGGGTTTCCGTTGAATATCCGTCCTTCGAGTGCGTTCACAGCCTAAGATATGGTCAGGATAATTCCGTCTTGATGTCCGTAGATATGAAACTCACCCGTAGAGCTGATAATTGGTTGGTGAATTTGACAAAAACAGGCACTGGAGGCTGTGAATGACGAGATATGAAGACCCGCTCAACATTGCCATACTGAACAGGAATTAGAAAAGCCGACAACCAAGCGGATTCGATAGACCAACCTTCTCTGAGCATTCTTCCCCAATTTCCTGCATCAAGTTTCCGCCTTCCAACTCTGCATCCAAGTCCAAACCGTTGAGCATGCCCTTCAGAACGATAACCTCGCTCATCCGACCAAACTTGCCCTCGTCTTCTGCTGCCTTTTTCTTGCCACCGACAATCTTCCCTCGACCAGCCGGAGTAGCAAAACCACCGCCCTCGGAATCTGGTCGCTTCTTTTGCTTCTCAACCTTGACTTGCAGCGGGTTGACAATACCAGACCCGGTTGCACCAAGACCAGAGCCCTTTGTCCAGCCATACTTGGCCAGCAACCGCTCAGCAAATCCTTTTTGCCCGGGACGCAGCGAGCGCTCGCCATCGCCATCTCCCTCACCTTCACCTCCATCTTCAGTAGGATTCTCCTTGGCAAAGACTTCTTCAAGTTCCGCTTCCGACGCAGGGATGTCTTCTGGAGGTGGTGGGAGGTTATAACGGACTGGCGCACGAGAAATAGTTGCTGAAGATGGCTGTATTGTGTCCATAACTCGGGCCAGAGGAGATGGTGGCGCAGTTCCCACCGGGGCCTGCGATCCAGCAGACATTTGAAGGCGCCTGGCATAGGCATTGTCCCCGGTGGGATCGTTTGGAACTGGGGCAGGCGGCGGAGGTTGCGCGTCATCTGGCATGCCTGCTGTCATTTGTGCACGTCGAGTTAAATCATCTTCACCTGATAGATCATTGGGAAGCGACGCGGGAGGCTCTGGTGGAATGTCGTTGAGGTTTGGAGGCGGCGCGAAGCTGCTTGGGGGGGCGAATTGCCCTAGAATGAATTTAGCAAATTTGTACCTCATCCATCTAGCGTAGTACATACGGTTCATTGGCCGACGCTCATCGTCACTAAGTGAGTCTCTGCTGGGCGAACGCGCCATGCGATGTGCATAGAGACGGTCTTTCCATTCTCGAACCTCGGCGATCTGCTCGTCGCTATGCTTGTATTCCTCGTAATTATTCGGCCTTGTCGGGTCATAGATATCGTCCCAATTCTGTACAAACTCCTGCGCTTCGCGGTTCTTCTTACGCTTCTTGCGACCACCTCGTTGTCTCTTTTCTCCAGCGTAGAAGCCATTAACATCGTCATTTTCGGCGGCCCAGTCTGCCAGAGTGGTCATTACGGGCGGAGCAGCCGCAGACGGATTAGCAGCCGCAGCAATGGCCTTGGGTAATGTCGGTTTGGGTTTCGGTTTCTGCGCTGATAACTGGGGTCTCCTGGTGGGTTGGAATCGGAGAGCAGCTGAAAGGGCAAAACGGGAGACAAGTGAGCAATCAGCATGTTCAACGACATTGATGTTATGACACAAGGTAAATAATCGAGAGCAGGGTAAGAAAGCTACCAGGGTTCAACTGCTGCTTCTTAGCAGCTTCATCTGACTGCGCATTGTCTTCAGAGCTTTGCTTGAAGACGACGGGCGCGCGCGAGATTGTCCCCGGGGCTGGGGATTCGGCAGAGGGGTCAAGTAAATTCGCATAGAGTGATAAGCCCGGCCTGGATGGTGTCTGATCGGAGGTCATCTTGGCAATCGGGGATCAAAAGAGGGACAGTTATCGAGGTGGTTAACGGAGTCTCGTCGATTCGATGCTGCTTCGTCGATCGATTTGTTATGTTTGCTATGTTTGCTATGTTTGGATATTTTAAATTACTAACTAATAACGGCTAGTTAGTTAACGTAGTCCACGGGCGAACCGCGGACTTCTGTATTCCATATAAAATGGCACTTTTTATCACCTCAATATCTCAGCCACCAATAGATATAGAGGCTTATTTATAAGATAAGAGTATGTATACACACACTAGAAGAAGGTATATTACTTTTTAAAGATTTTGTAGCTTTTTGTAGCTATAGATGCTTGAATATTGAAAGATACAAAAAAATACAGTGGTAATTTATATTACTTGGAGAAACATTTATCTGTAGAAGCTTTCTGCTCAGTGTATATAATTTCAGTATCATAATACTCTATATACTAAGTTTTAGGCTCTGTAGATACCTTGCAGTTGAGATATTGAAGGTATAAAAAGTGCCATTTTATATGGAATACGGGGGTGCGTCACTCGCTTGTGGATTACGTTACATCATTACTTAGTTAGGGCGCTTAGACGGAAAAGGATCCGGGGTACGGGGGAGAGGAGATGCTCCTAGGCATCATGTTTGATGCGGTTTCGAATTGAGCCATTTTCTTCTTTTATAACTTATTTTCCCTGTTGTACTCTGTACATACCCTGTTATTCTTCTAGTTGTACATACTACGGATAACAAGCCTCTTGTACTCCGTACCCCAGCCATGGCTACTACTACCCTTGCCCGTTCGTTCTCGTCCGAGAACAGCCGCCTCGCGGTCCTCGTTCCGAATAAGCCCAACCCCTTGGCCATCTCCTACCAGCAGCTTCACAGGCACGTCGCCAGTTTCCAGGCTAAGCTAGCGAAATTGGGAGTCTCTCATGGAGCTGCTGTGTCCATAGCCCTAGTGAACTCATACGAGTTCATCGTGTCGTTCCTGGCGGCCTCATGGCAACGGGGTATTGCCGCGCCTCTCAACCCGGCATATAAACAGGAGGAATTCGAATTTTACATTGACGATCTCAGCTCGACCCTGGTGCTGATTCCGCGAGGCGCATATGAACAATATAGCCCGGCCGTGCAAGCGGGTCGCAAGTATCAGGCTGCAATTGCGGAATGTTACTGGGATGGAAAAGAGGTGGTTTTGGATGTGAAGGAAGAGGGCAAGTTGGCTGGAAGCCTAGGTCATCAGGTGGAAGATGCGCAGCCGGATGATATTGCTCTGGTTTTGCATACGAGTGGAACGACTGGCAGGCCCAAGGCTGTATGTCTTTGCGAGCGGTTATATCGATATGCGTACTGACCTGGTAATAGGTTCCTCTGACACATAAGAACCTGACAACGACCATGAGTGAATGATTCTTCGAGGACAGTAGTGTTCTATTGGTGGCTGACAGCGTGCAGAAAACATCAAGGCTACGTACGAGTTAACCCCCGAAGACCGCACATACTTGGTTATGCCTCTCTTTCACGTTCACGGATTACTAGCTGCATTCCTGGCTCCTCTCTACGCCGGAGGATCAGTCATTGTGCCTCAGAAATTCTCTGCTTCGGAGTTCTGGGCAGACTTCGTCAACTATCAAGCCAACTGGTACACCGCGGTGCCGACGATCCATCAAATTCTACTCAAAACCCCGTTACCTAACCCTATCCCGAACATCCGCTTCATCCGCTCGTGCTCCTCGCCGCTGTCGCCAAAGACTTTCCAGGACCTGGAGAAGACGTTCAACGCTCCTGTTCTCGAAGCCTACGCGATGACCGAGGCCGCACACCAGATGACCAGCAACCCGCTCCCACCTGGTAAGCGACAACCCGGTAGCGTTGGCATTGGAACAGGTGTCGAGATGCGGATCCTGGATGGTGCCGGCAAGGAGGTTTCTCAAGGTTCCCCAGGAGAGATCTGCATCCGCGGCGAGAACGTGACCAAGGGTTACCTGAACAACCCATCAGCCAACGAGTCATCCTTCACAAAAGACGGTTTCTTCCGCACTGGTGACCAGGGTATCAAGGACCCAGCTGGATACGTGATCATTACCGGCCGTATCAAGGAGCTCATCAACAAGGGTGGAGAGAAGATCAGTCCTATCGAGATTGACAATACGCTTCTCCATCACCCCAAGGTGGCCGAGGCCGTCAGCTTCGCTATTCCCGATGAGGGTCACTATGGCGAGGATATCGGTGCAGCGGTGGTACTGAAGAGCGAGGGCGTGACCGATAATGACTTGAAGTCGTGGGTGGGCGATAAGCTGGCCAAGTTCAAGGTGCCAAGACAGGTATGTGCCCCTCTTCCAGGTATTTAGATCAGGTTGATACTGACATGAACAGATTTTTATCGTGTCACAAATCCCCAAGACAGCCACTGGAAAGATCCAGCGACGTAAAGTGGCCGAGACAATGCTCAAGCCAAAGGCGAAGCTATAAACGCTCCACCTTGCATTCTATACTCCTTTGCTTTTATGTTAGTTCCGCATTTATTTATTAGTGTACAGAGTACGAGAATGTACTGCGCTTCCAGTTTCCATATCCATCAATACGGTTCAATAACGTTAGACCGCTCGTATGGCATTTATAAGCACCCCGTACCAAGAATATCCCCAATTCGGAGAATTTAGATCTCCAGTATCCCCAGTGTCTCCGCTTGCCTCCACTTGTCAGATTTATAATTTATAAATCCGGTAACTAGATATAGCTCTCCCCTCTCTACCCAAATCACTTATCACCTTCCATACATTCACATACAGCTCCTCAGCACCAAAATGTCAACAATGAAAGCAATCCAAATCCACACCTACAACGAACCCTATAAAGTCCACAATGGCATCTTAATCCCATCCCCAAAACTCCACCAAGTCCTTATCCGCATCAAAGCTGCGGGTTTTTGCCACACGGACCTGATGGCGCTGAACGGAGAGTTCGGCACGACACTCCCATTTATTGGGTCCCATGAGCCGGCGGGGGTTGTTGTGGACGTTGGTGGTGATGTGAAGGGGTTTGAGAAGGGGGATCGCGTGGGGTGTATTAATTTTGATAGTGTTTGTGGTATGTTTCTTTTCTTTTGTCTCATGGGAGTTGAGGGGGTGGTGGTTGATAGACGGATGCAGGGAAATGCCCAGACTGCAAAGCCGGTCTGCCTATTTACTGCGATAACCCGTTAATGAAAGGTATAACGACCGACGGTGCTTGGGCGGAGTATATGGTTGCGTATGTCTCATTCTCATCCATTGGACAAGCCATTAACGATGCGCAGCGACGCCCGTTTCATGGTCAAACTGCCCGACGACATGGACTTCAAAATCGCTGCTCCGCTGATGTGCGCGGGAATCAGTATCTACGGGGGTATTGTGCGCGCGGAGGTGCCCAAGGGCGGGTCGATTGGTATCATTGGAATCGGCGGATTGGGCCATATTGGGACGCAGGTTGCTAAGTGCATGGTATGCCTCTTCTTAATCCTCTTGTGCCCCATGCTCTGAGTACTAAGTAAGTGGTAGGGCTACCAAGTCGCAGCAATCGACATCAAACAACCCGCTCTCGACTCCGTAGCATCCTACACCCACAAACCCGACGCTCTAATCCTCTCCAACGACCCAGTCGAAACATCTCTCTCAAAAATCAACAAAATCACCGCCAACGAATACGGCTACCCGGGCCTCGATGCCACAATTCTAGCAACAGACCATCCCGCCGCCTTTGAAACGGCCGCAGCGCTTACCCGCAAACACGGGACGATGGTGTTGTTAGGACAGCCTGAGAAGGGGATTACCATGTCGTATCTCACTACGATATACAAGAATATTAAGTTGGTGGGGTCATTGGTTGCGGATACGCAGCAGGCGGAGGAGTTGGTTAGGTTGGTTCATGAGAATGGGTTGCACATTGATGTTAAGGAGTGGAAGATGGAGGAAGCAGAGGAGATGAGGCAGGCGTATTTGAATGGGACGACGAGTGGGAAGAATGTTATTGTTATTGACTAGCTGCCACTTATTTCTAAGTCTAGTCTGTTTTGTGGCAATGTACTGAATCACAGCGGAAGTCTCACGGCCGATTGGAACTAAACAACATTAGCCACTGTTTCGCATTTGCCGGAGAAAAAGACGTACCGGGATAATCTGCACATTCTCAATATCCCACACCCCATTCTTCGTGTAAACATCGTTCTCCAACAACTTTCTCGCTTCTTCCTCGTTCTCAGCGAGCAGCATCATAGCACTTCCCTTGAACGAAGGCGTCTCGCCTTCCTTGGGGTGCGAATCGTTGAACATCGCTCCTGCTTTTTATCAGCCTTCTCCTCAGAGATAATAGATGGTGTAGGAAGAAGGAACGCACCTCCAAGAACCAAAGAGCCCTCACTGACGGACTTCTTGGCGTTTTCAAGGTGCTGTCTGATTTTGTTAGTTGTCATGTCCAAGTTCGATACATGGACTGGTGGTGGTGTAAACATACGGCCGGACTTCCAAGCGCTTGTCGATGACACCCGGCTTGTCGGGGCAAATGCACAGGAATTCCTTTTTCGCAGGGGCAGACATGTTGTTATGATATGGAATGGTAGTGAGTGGTTGAAATTGATCAGCTTGTGATCGTGAAAGAGATGAGGTCGTGGGGAAGTGGGGGAGGGATGATAGTGGGGAACAAAGTGGCACAGTTAAGCTACACTAGTAGTACACATCATCAAGATAATTGTATTAATTATATATACAAGCAAGAAAAACAGACGCTAAGTATTGTTCCTCTTTCTCTAGATGTTTGCGCGCATCCTGGTTGTTTGTTCCACGGTTCAGACTATGGGCAACGTTCAGCCGATGGCAGATAACAAGTCAATAGGACAGAAACAAAGCCACCACTCTATGTTATATCACAATAAAAAAAATAGAAGTTACCCATCAAAAGAGACTCCGCGGACTTCAATAATATATCACGAGAGAAAAGGTCAGCTCAACACTTCAACCATTATAATTCTCTCAAAAACCGCTAAACGACATCGTTTTCCCCCGTAGCGCCAGGAAACAAAACAGATACATCCCGAGAATGCGACACGAAGACTTAATTATCTCAATCATTAGGTTTGTCTCAAACATCCTTCCAAAAAAAGAAAAAAAAAGAAGAGAAAAAAGAGGAATCAACAACAACATAAGAACTGAAGACACCATGCCTATCAAAGATGGGGTATTCAGACATGGCGGAAAAGTAGATACTTGGTCAATCGACAACCAAGTCACAGATGTTGAGCTTAAGCGTTACCAGGCTTCTCATCGGTGTCGATATGCCAAACCACGTAGTTGGGAAGACCAAAAACCCGGTACCCAGCGCGCTTGGCCATGCGGGCGAACCCTTCCGTTTCGGCTTGGTTTTCGAAAGCATAGGCGGGGAAGTTGATACCTGAACTAATTAGAAACCTCACTAAACCGAACGGATCAGATAAAACATACCAGTACGGTGGACATCAGCCTTGACGATAATGTTCACACCACCAATGCCATCGAGCTCAATCTCTTCATCCTTGTTATTTCTCCAGTCACCCATGGTGGCGAGGTAGGTCCGGCCGGTGGCGTATTCCTTGTAGCCTTCTGCCAGAACCGTGTTGGTGTCAAGAGTCGCCCGCAGCCTGCGGCCCTTGTCGGACTCGATCCAAGAATTGTAGTCAACTGCAAACAGAGTTAGATAGCATTCTCAAAAGGACGGAACTGAGATCCACATACAACGACCCTCAATGTCATGACCATCTCGGTAGCGGTGGAACCAAATGTCTGCAAATGATTAGCATATATCAAGTAGACTCATGCGAGAAACACATACTAGGAACGAGAATGTCTTTGTCGTGAGCGGTAAAGTCCTCAATGATCTTGTCGGGGCTGTCCACGATATCGACATCTCTCCAGTAAACCCAAGAGTGATCAGCCTTCAGAGCCGAGTAGAGTAGATAGTTGCGCGCCCGTCCAATGGACTTGCGACGTGGTCCCTGCGCAGCAAACGAGTGGCGTTCCTCGACGCTCATCTCGACATCCGCGCCAAAGTCCTTTTGCACAACGGTCGCACTCCGGAAAGCAATCTTCTCCTCGGTTTGACTCTGGATACGGTTCAACTCGGACGAAAGAACAGCGAGAGTGTCGTCTTTGCAGTCACCGACAAGGAAGGCCAGGTCGATCAGTTCGTGCGGGTAGGTCAGCTTGTAGAGAAGGTCGAAGTATTTCTGGATGTACGGAGCGGCGTCTCTCAGCGGGGTAAGGATGAGCACGCGCTCCCCATTCGCAGCAGCCTTGGAAGTAGATCTGATGGGGTTGAGGTCCATAGTCGAGATCGAGGTGGAGTTCACCTCGTATGGCTCGTGGTGGTTGAAGATGACAGGTGTCTGGGCATGGGCGTTCCACTCGACCATTTCATTGATGGACATATCCATGGGCGACTTGGAGGAGCCATAACAGTAGAAGCTGCATCGAAATCCATCAGTATATCCGATAATCGAGAGATGTGAAGGATAAAGCCTACCTCTGCATCTCAGATGCAGACTTACTGATCCCACTCCATAACAGAATCAGCAAGCCCGCAATAGCGACAGACACCAGAAAGCGAGTCCTTGTTACCAGCACCAGAATCGCTCTCCATGGAGGCAACCTGGCCTTGGCCGACTTCCATGTTACACCACCTTTGGGGAGAAGCATATTGTCCTTTTTCTAGACCGAATTCGACACCTTGCCTATCGGGTCAATCGATTCGGGGCGTTTCTATCCCTTAATCCACGGTACTCGATGGTATGCGTCGATTAAAAGGTCGAAGTCTCGATGCCACAAATAGACACCCTTGATCCGGCCAAACGAATACGGAAGTCAGCGGGGGGAGACCCTGACCGGAATGTACGATACGTATCGCGGGGAGTCGTTTATCGCAGAATCTCGAGACGATCGCGTCGAATCGGAAGCGCTATAGTCGGATTGAGATGGCGGATGAGGCGAGAATCGGTTGATGACGATTAAGGAGGGAAGAGAGGGAAGTGGGCGATGAGAGCCAGGGATCACACCCGACGGAGAGGCGGCTCTCGGAAAGTAAACGAGTGAACGACGAAAAGAAGATAATACAATGACTATTAGCGAAAAAAGGACACGAGACGAAGAAGAGAAAACACGAAGAGAGAAGCGAAGAGAAGAAAGAAGGTTGGAGAAAGAGTCGAGAAGGCCAGCCAGACCGGGGGAGGAAAGCGAAGACGCTGATCTGCTCAAGAATTTCTTCGTTGTGACAGTCGGTCTCACCCGCCCCTTTTTATAGCACACCTTCACTTCAATGTACGAAGTATATGAGATACAAATATCAACTACAGTCATCCAGTTCGTATCTATACGAGCACATTTCTGCGCAATCTCGACTTTCCCCTTCTAATACTTGAATGCTCGTTTTGCAGTAAATGTCACATGATTTCCAAGGCTTGGCATCACTAATGTACCAGACAGGAATCGATGGCATGAAATTAAATGGCTGCCAGATGGTTGAGCACCTTACTCATTCCCAGTCCACCAATATGCGCGGGACACAGTCATCAGAAACTGGTTAGGAGTATCATCCTTTGAATTACTTATGTGAATGAACCCTGGACAAGACCAGGACGACAATAGGGGCTTGTCCTGTCCTCCTAGAAACGCCTGTTACCAGAAGCCAATCCTGCTACACGATATATGGATGTGGCTGCGCAAGCAAGTACAAAAGTATAACAACGTTCAGATGGGTAAATCAGCATCCACGACCAGGACCAGACGACAAAAACTTCGAAACACCCAATCCAGGTGGCTGTCGCGTGCGCAACTGACCCAAGCCACAGGAGAGACTTTCCGATCTCTCAGAAGGTTATTCGAAGTCGAGTTGGGAAAGTTCGAAGAAGATGGGGTTGCTTGACTGATGATGTATAAGATGTAATCCGTCCAAACTGTATCACACGGGGGTCGTCGGATTACTACTAGGTATGGGAAACAGGAGAAAACTAACATTCTATTTTGTAGCCCAATAGACTATGCGCCAGCCTGTCGCCCGACGCGAGGGCCGTATCTGTGTTCGACTTGGTGGCTAATTCATACTCTTCACTGCCAGATACCTCGTCGAAAAGAGAACTGCTCAGCAATCACTTTTGAATCCTATTATTATTTCGGATTGCACGGTAAGCAATATGACTACTGGATAGAAAGAAAGACTAGATAGAGAGAATACCAAATTGGAATACAAAAGAAATCATATAAAGCTGCTAAATGACAGATAAATACCCAATAAAATAACGGTTCAAGCGTATATAGGACAACCAGTTATATGCACCAAATATCAACACACCATTGATCCCATCCCAATCCAACAACAAAAAGCCAAAGTATACACAAAAAGAAATCCAATATGCACATATATAGTGGAAAAGAGAAACCCAATCCAACTTTTCCCCCTTTCTCCAAATCCGAACTCGCTAAAGAACTCCTCCCAGGTATGGCTAAGCCAAACCTGCAACCTGCAACCTGCGCCCTGCACCCTGCGATGTGATGTGATGTGATGCAGGGACCCGTGGAACTGTGCTCGAATAAATGACAGATGCAATGCAAATGCTAAACTCAAATGACCCAGAAAATTGCTGTGAAAAAGGAAAGGAGAAACACCCGACATGAACGCCGGCCGAAATATGCCCCATATATGCAAAACAAAGTAAACAGATCAATAAAAAGGTAAGGTGCCTACGGCGAAGGCATTATAGACTCCCGCTGCGAGGTGGGAACCGAGTACGAGTGCACCGGGGACGAAGGCCCTGTTGTAGGCGGGGTGCTACTCAGATAGGAGCGGCCTCCAAAGGACAGCGGCCCACTAATGGGAATACCGTCAAAGCGTGAAGCCTCGGGACTGCCGGTGGCGATCTCATCGCAGAAGACGCGCAAGCCTGGGAGCAGGTTCTTGGGCTTGTTGGTGTTGGCCGTGGTGTCGGGGTGAGGAACCAACATCTGGGGGCTGTTGGTCTCGCTCTTGGGGACGCGAAAGACATTCTCGTAGGCCTTGAGTTGGTACTCGAGTGCCTGGTTGCGCTCCTCGAGCATCTGCTTCTCCTGCTTGATGGTCTTGAGCTGTGCTTGCACGCTCTGGTTCTGCTGCTGCAGGCTGGAGACCAGTTGCTGGAGCTGCATGCAGCGGACCTGTGGTTGAAGCTTCTCCGAAAGGTGCTGGGGCATCTCATCCTCCTGGCGGATGAGGTGGATGATGATGAGAAGCATAAAGTCGATGAGGTAGATGGCACCCTGCACAATGTGTTCCTTGGACTGCGGGAGGCTTTTGCCCGGGTTCCATCCGGCGCGCTCGAGGAAAAAGTCATGGATACGGCTGTCCAATTCGCGGTGCAGCTGACTCAGGTTCTTGCGGCGGTTGCCTTCGGCGATACGGTGCTTCTCCCGCTGGTCATCGGGATCAGTGGAGATCATGCTCCCCTTGCGCTTGCGTCCGCAGAGCTGCTGCAAGGGGGGCTTGCGGTTGATGTTTCGGGGGGCGATAAGGGTCACGAGTTCGTTCTGGGAAAGATCACTAGGCCACTCCATGGTCTTCTGGGAAGAAAACGAGTCTTGCCAAGTGCTGTCCTGAGAGTTTGCGGGCGAGGGAGGGGCCACCAGGGTCTCCGGTGTTGGCCAGGATGACTTGACCGGGAAGGCATCTTGAGAAGTCGACGGGCTGGGAGCAAAGGTTCTGGCGTTGAATGGGTTGAATGGGCCCCGGGGAAGGGGCTCGACGCGTGGGAGAGGGGGTAACCGGCGGTCATCGCTCATGTCCACTGCACCAGCACCATTGGAAGACAAAGAGCGAACGCTACTGAAATAATAGTTAGAATGTGAGATCTTCTTGGTATAGACCAGGGGGAAACTCACGGAAGAGAGCAATGGCGCGAGAAGTCACCTGTCATCTGTGCCATGTCTTCAAACATCTTGATATGGGATGCTAGAAACGATAGAAGAGTGGTGTATGTGATATGTGAGGATAATGTCTGTCAATCGCGTGTATATCGGGCAAGGAGTATGTATGTCTCTGTCTCCTTTGCCTTTGAACGTATATATATAGGTGTATATATTCCAAGACAAGACCAAACAGAAGGGATGGGAGTCTGCACAATGATCACACTGGTCGTTTCTAGTTGGCAAAGGAGGGGCAAGAGGCCTTTAAGTAAACGACAGTAAGGGCTCAAGTAGAAAGCGAGAGAAAGCGAAAGATAGTCAGAGAACAAAGTACTGGATATGATTGCAAAATCCACGAGGTTAGAAACTCAGAGATGAAATGCTTGATGAAGAAACCCAGGTACCTGGTGCGGATGCATGTTTTATATCTTGAGCTGCAGATACTGAACAGGAGAAGACAGGTCAAAAGTACTTTCTTCATCGAGAGTGGTGGCGTTCGAGATGCCCCCATGATCCGATGAACTGCAGCATCATCGACAGCATTAGCAGCAGCAGCATCTTGGAATCTCTCCACGGATTGAAGCCAGGATGTATCATAATCCATGCGGATCTGCGACGGGATCCAACCGGGAAACCGATTTTAGCCGTAACAGATTTATGTGGATGTGGCTCTTGACATACAGATCGATCAATATTGATGCGTATTATCATGGTTATTGTTTTTTTCGAACCAATTCTGCAGCATGATCCCCATATCCCCATCGTGGCGGGGAAGCAACAGGGCGATTCCGGCAGAGTTACAACCGTACAGGGGGGTATGTGGAGGAGAACGCAGAGGCCCTAGTGTTCGGTGCATCCGTGAGGATGATAGAAACGAGTCTCTCTGTCACAAAGCATCGCACAGACTAAAACGAATTGCCGTCCGCTCCCCGATCGACGAATCAACGTATCTCTAATAATTCTATGTCCCAAGCTGCGATGTTGAAGGACCGGGGACCCTTGATTTGTCACCGGGATAGTAAAATAGGAAACGGGCATGGACATAGAAAGTATTGTGGTGAACGTATGTATGCATGCATCTGTATCTCTTGAATATCGATTATCCTGCATCCCCTTGCATCTCACCCATCAATAGTTCATCTGAGCCAATGGCTTTGTTGCCTCTATGGATTTCATGATGCATCCGTAACGGAATAGCGTCCTTTTGCGGTAAAAACGTTCTGGACGTTTGGCGGTTTGCGAAGCACTTCCTCGTCCACTAGTTTATGGACGTACATGTTACGGAACAGCTCATCCGGCGCTTATCCATGGTACAGAGACGCCGGGATTTCTATGGGGGGGGGGGGGTTTGTCCGTTCACCTGGGGAAGGCGAAAAGTGAGAGATCAGAAGAACCAGAAAAGTGGAGAGAACGAGCGCTCAAGCCCTTTCCCAGTGATGACAATAATTGTCTGTCTCGGCAGGCGAATGGACACCCGCAAAATTCATCGATCGTGGCAAAATGCCCATGAGGCTCCATCGAAAGTTCATTCAGCTCGAACACAGTAGCTCGCGGGATTTCCTCGAACAGCACATCGCACTCATTCACCTCTTTCGCATTGACTGTGCACAAACCGCCATAAGTGGACATCTGGCGGTTTAGCTACAGCAATGATGAATGATCTCCACTGAGGGGAAAGAGGGTATCTCCATCTCCGGGGAAGCATAAAGCGACAAAAGTACGGAAAATGCAACAACAGGGATCGTAGAAGGTTTTCTTGCACAGCGATGCTCCTCCATACAGCGTACATCGTACATCGAAACAATCCGATGCACCGACAGGAGGGAGCCGAAATCTCCATCCATCCGTTCTCCATTCACCAAGGGGGCGGAAACGGGGGAGGCTCCTTTTTTTTTTTTTTTTTTTTTTTTTTTTTTTTTTTTTTTTTTTTTTTTGGGTTGGGTCGGAAGAAGATTCCGGGCAAATAGCAGGAAGCAAGGATTGTGCCATTACGGGCGAGGGCTCAATTCAATTCAGCAGCAGCCTCAAAAAGTACTTGTACATGAGACGAGATCTGTGCGGGATCATAATGACATTGGCCTATGCCATACGAAATATACCCGTCCTCCGAATGTAAGGCAGAAGAATACGATGTTCCCACGATAGACGACACCGAAGAATCGGGACGAATCCAATGACCGGGGTCTGACGGGCTGTCAGGGCCAAATTATAATTATTTCCGGACACGGTTCCGGATAGAGTTGAGTTGGAAATGCTGTTGATTGGTATCTTGATATGAATAAGCTATCGCTAGTTAGTCCGCAGCAATTCAATTCTCAGCCAAATACGAGCGTTTAGGTTGGGAGGCTTTGGGGTCCTTTGATGGGCGTTGATAGCAAAGTAGTATTAAGAACTGGGATATTGAACAATGAAACGAACTGCTCATTGTCATGCTCGAACAAGCAAGAGCCATCGCCAAGATATTCGATGCGTATAGCTGCCAGTGATTATGAACAGACCGGATGGAGGATGAAATGACGGGCAGTGGACGGATAATAGAGAGGTTGGAGGTTGGCCGTCAGTGGGGCCGGGCGTTTCAGGGCATAACCTGAGCTGTCATATCGGCGGTGTAGTATCCACTAAACCCCATCGGGTAGGTCATTACCAACTGTAGGTTAAACCTCCGATACCCTGTACATAGTATACACCAGCCACAACTCTGTAAATCACCCAGCAAAGTTCCAAATAAATCATCTTACACTAAATCAATAAACAACATCCTTGCACGTACGTAGCCGAGCACGAGCCATCGCACACATTGCGCAATCTCTCAACCTTACTTCTGCTCTTCGTATAGGCGGATGCGGTTTCCGCTGCATGGCTAGCTGCATTGGCGTTGGTTAGTTATTCTCCGGCGGTCGAGACTCGTCTGTTGTTTTCTCCACGTATGTCCCAGATCGCCATTGGCCTCGGTATATAGTCCCGTAGAAATAATATGAACCTTATTATGATACGTCGGTACGGGGGTCCACGGAGGATATACGAGTGGCTTACACTATGAATCAAGAAACACTGGGATTAGGTTCGAAAACACGAGTTCGCAGAATATCAATATATATCCCCTGCGCAATCGACTACCTTGTCTATGTCAGAAGTACCTATTTTATCCATGAACATGGATTACAGTACCGTGGAACAAGAACAAGCTACCACTGACCTGGTCATGGAAATAATTGAATCCAAAACCCAGTAACCAGAATACCAACATAATCTAGATTTGACCCCTCCGAGAATTATTGCATTACCACCAATAACTTATTATCCTTCCGGCAAGGGCAGGTATCCGTACTTGCACGCACAACTCCCACGAAGAGCGGATGCACTGGCTATCATCGCACATGTATGCATGGCGTACAGTCTGCGTAGGACAAGTGTACATCCAGTATATACATAGAAGCTTCAAAAGTACTTTGCCCTTGCCTGATCGTATTGCATCAAGTCATTCATGCTCTTTATACTTCGTCTACAGAGTAGGACATCTTTGTACGGAGAAGACGGAGCTGAACACCTTTAAAATTGCCACTAGCAGTGTTCAGTTCTTGTGGGTGAAGCCACAGTGGCTATGAAGTAAAAGTATGTTGACCTTGCTTCTGCGCGTACTGTATGAAATGTATGAATTAGACATCCCTACGGCGTACAGGGTACTATACATATCCGAAAAAAGAAAATATACCAACAGGTCCACCTGTCAATAACAAATAATCTTAAGAATCCCGAACCAATAAGCGACTCGATAGTATAGCCGGGGTACTCTGTACTACTCCATATTTTTAGCGTAGATACGGAGTAAAGTAGATAGTACACAGAAGTATCTGTGTACAGTGAATGAGCCTCTACGAGTCAGTAGAACCGCCAGACCACCCTTCATGAAAGAAAGACAAACCACGGTCAGCCGCACTCTCATTAAGGTATTCCGCCCTTGTATCGCTACCAGAGTAAGACGAACAAATGCTAACCAACCAGTAAGGTCGACCTGCATATCCACGAGTCAGTCGCATCCCGGCCCGAACAATCCTATTATATAGTATCCAGAACATACAAGTACTACATGGCACCAAAGTACGAACTTCTCTTTCCAGGCGCATACATATACATATACATGTACATACAATGACATCCCTGGAGACCAAGGGAAAAAGAATCCAGGGCCTATCCTGGACCCCGGGACGGGTCGGACTGGCCGGGTCTATGGGGAACATGTACGCGGATGCAAGGTGTGCATGCGTACATATGGAATGAGATATACATGTACAAGTACGTGACGATTGATATATGTGCAAGGACGGATAGAAGAGACGGATGTGTGTGTAGGACTCCACCCGCGCGCCTTGCAGGGCATAGATCATAATATTGAATTATATCATGGCATATCATATCAGCTACAGCTTTACCATAGGGGTAGTTCCCGGCTGTGCTGAGGTGCTCAAGGGATATTGTTCGATGTTCCGGTAGATCATTGGTCTGGGTGTCTGTATATGGGAATGCCGATATAGAAACCGTAGGGCAGAAGAATAAACAAGGATAAACACTCATCTGAATAGTGTAAACTGCGGTGTCTATCTTCTGTTACTATCTTTCCGTGTACTACGGAGTATACGGCACATCCCTCGTTCACCTGTACAACACATCGCGTAGCAAACTTCAACTACCAAACTATATGTACTCCCTAACTCACCACTCGTGTTCTGTGCGTACTCCGTCCATTATACATGACATGCTCGGGACGGCACGCTACAGAGAAGACGGGTAATAAGCAAGCAAGGCAAGACCACATACTCCATAGTACTCCATAGAACATACAATATACCCACAGCGCCATTACATATACCGAAGGTATACTTGTATAGGAATAGACTAGTTACGGAGTAATCAGGCTATTTTTCCCGACCACTGAGCACGCACAAAAAGCTCAGTGGAAGCTAGTTCCCCTACTTCCGACACTTTAATCGGAAGCCCATGTCCACGATAGTCGATCGACCCGCTCATTCCAAGA